CGAGATCAAGTTGAAGTTGTAACAAGTGAAACAAGTCAAGGAAGTGAAGCTGGTCAAGGAATTGGTCAAGAAAAGGAAGCTGGTCAAGAAACTGAAATTAATTGTGAAGCTAATCAAGGAGATGTTGAAGCTGAAAAATTTGTTAAGAAGCTGGTGTACTCAAGGAAGACTAAGGCCATTCCAGGATCAAGCCATGTTCAAGAATCCAACTCGACTCCACAAAAAGAGGTAACAATTTTTTCTCCAGTTGTGCAGGTTGAAATTGAAACCTAAAATGATCATGACCTCCCAATTTCCATTAGAAAAAGACCAAGAAAATGCACCAAACAACCACTCTACCCTCTCTCAAATTACCTGTCCTTTAAAAATTTCTCTCCTACCCACAAAACCTTCTTAGTAAACCTAAACACTACACTTCTACCTAATACCCTATCTGAGGCATTGTCTGACAGAAAGTGGAGGCAAGCCATCAATGTAGAGATGGAGGCAGTGGAGAAGAACAACACCTGGGAGTTAGTCACCTTACCAATAGGAAAGAGGCCAGTTGAATGTGAGTAGGTCTATACAGTGAAATACAAGGCTGATGGATCAATTGAGAGATATAAGGCAAGACTAGTTGCCAAAGGGTTCACTCAAACTTATGGAGTTGATTATTTGGAGACCTTTGCTCTGGTTGCCAAAATGAACACAGTTAGGGTGATATTGTCCCTTGCTGCCAATTATGGTTGAAACTTGGAACAATTTGATGTTAAGAATGTTTTCCTACATGGAGACCTTGAAGAAGAATTTATATGGAGATACCTCCGAGATATGATAGAGATGTTATTGCCAACACTGTTTGCAAGTTGAAAAAGGCATTATATGGGCTAAAATAGTCGCCTTGTGCATGGTTTGACAGGTTTACTAAAGTTATGACAGGTCTGGGTTACAAACAAAGCCAAGGGGACCATACTTTGTTCTTTAAAAATTCCAAGTCAGGGGGAGTAACAATATTATTAGTGTATGTGGATAACATAATATTAACTGGAGATAATAAAGAAGAGCAGCAATTGTTGAGTCAATGCTTAGGCAAGAAATTTGAGATCAAGACCTTGGGAAAACTAAAATATTTTTTGGGAATTGAAGTTTCCCATTCCAAGAAAGGGATATTTATATCCTAGCAGAAATACATCACTGATTTGTTCAAGGAAACTGGCAAGGCAGATTGCAAACTTGCTAGTACCCCATTAGAACCAAACTTAAAGCTTGGAAATGCAGAAGAAGATGTTTTTGTTAAAAATGATATGTACCAGCAATTAGTGGGCAGACTTATATATTTGTCTTATACCAGATCAGATATTGCCTATGCAGTGAGTTTAATTAGCCAATTTATGCATAGCCCAAAGGAGACCCATTTACAAGCTGCCCACAAAATTTTACAGTACCTTAAAGGAACTCCAAGAAGAGGGATTCTATTCAAAAGGAATGGTAATGTGAAGCTTGAAGCCTATACTAATGTTGATTATGCAGGGTCAATTGTGAATAGGAGGTCAACTATAGGATACTGCACCTTTCTTGGAGGAAATCTTGTGACTCGGAGAAGCAAAAAACAGGGTGTAGTGGCTCGGTCCAGTGCTAAAGCGGAATTCCGAGCCATGACACAAGGTATATGTGAGTTTCTATGGCTTAAAATCATCTTAGAAGACTTGAGGATAAAATGGGAAGAACCTATGAAGTTTTATTATGATAATAAGTTAGCAATAAACATAGCCCACAACCCAGTGCAACATGATAAAACAAAAAATATTGAAGTAGACAAACACTTCATCAAAGAAAAGCTTGATAGTTGCTTGATATGCACTCTATATGTGTCCTCTCAAGACCAAATTGCAGACATTCTTACCAAGGGACTGGATTGTCACAATTTTGAGAAGATTGTATCCAAGCTGGGAATGGAAAACACCTATTCACCAGCTTGAGGGGGAGTGTGGGAAATCAAATAGTATTTTAGGAAAGAATAAATTAGGAAATTTGTATATTTCCTTGTAATTTGTACAGATTTGAACAATTAGGAACAATCCTATAAATCAAGGGATCCTAGAATAAAATAGAGTTATTATATTTCCTAAAATAGCTTAGGTTTCATGTATATATCTTGTATGATCTCTTTGTATGAAAAATAATAAAATTAGATTTCATTTAATCTAATTTTCCAGACTTATTATTATTACTTCATTTTAAACTCAATTCTAAATTTATCTATTTCACTTTATTACAATTTTATTATTATTATATATATATATATATATATATATATATATATATCCTTTATTAATGTTCTTAAAAATTATCAAGTCTTAAAATAACTCATAATTCCATTTTATTAAAGTTAATGACAAAATATTTCATTATATTCATGTGAAATATTTTAGGAAAATACTTGATGTTACAATAGTATTTCAATATTATTCTTAATTTTCAAACACTTCAATTATCCATACAATGGAATTTGAAAACATTAATTTAGACGCATTATTGGATCAAGTTATAGATGAAGAACTCAAATATAAGAATGATGAAAAAATCATGAGGTTACTACTTGAGTACCAACAACAAGTCAACAATAATGGTGGTGACAAACAAAGAAGAAATGTAATTCATCAAAATCGTGAAGAAGGTCATCATTAATTGTTCAATGACTATTTTGTTGAAAATACAATATATACAAAATCTCAATTTTGAAGAAGGTTCCATATGTAAAGAGAGTTTTTTGTCAAAATTGTGAAAGTCCTTGGCAATCACGATGATTACTTAACATTGAGGTTAGATGCAACATGAAGAAGAGGTTTATCACCTTTGTAAAAGTACACTACTGCTATTCACATTTTTGGTGTATGACTCACCTGTTGATAGTATGGATGTATATATTCGAATTGGTGAAATCACTACAGTAGAATGCTTACAACAATTTGGATCGAACATTTGTGCAGTATTTCAAAATGAGCATTTAAAGATGCCTAACAACGAAGACATTGATCGATTATTATAAATTGGAGTCACATGTGGCTTTCCAGGTATGTTAGGACCAATTAATTACATGCATTGGGAATGGAAAAATTGTTCAGTTGCATAGAAAGGTCAATTTTGTTGAAGTGATCATGCTAACCCAACAATCATTCTTGAAGTTGTGGTATCACAAAATTTATGGATTTGGCATGCATTTTTTGGTACCGCATGGTCAAATAATGATATTACTATGTTAAATGCATCTAATGTGTTTAATGAAGTTATTTCAGATTTTGTACCTATCATGCATTACACTGTGAATGAAATATAATATGACATGCGACATTACTTAGCAAATGGTATTTATCCAGATTTTGCCACATTTATGAAAATTATTTCAATGTCATAAGGACAAACGAGAAAATTATTTGTTCAATGACAAGAGTTAGTAAGAAAGAATGTTGAACGTGTATTTAAAGTCTTTCAATATCAATTTACAAATATATGTTGTCCGACATATTTTTGGAATACTCCTACATTGAAGAACATAATTTATACATGTATCATATTACACAATATGATTATTGATGACGAACGACACATTTATCAAAATCATATTGATTATGATATTAGGAAAAATGACGTGTCAACTATTGATATATCTTCAAGTCTTCTTTCTAGTTTTAAATTTATATACTTTTAAAGGAGAGTAGCGGTTCAAAATAGAAATATTCACCACTAACTTCAAACAGATTTGTTAAAACATTTAATAAAAATTTGGAAAAAATAATAAAAATTAATTTTCGTAGTATATTTTCTAATGTTATTTGATTTTTATTTTATTATATTTATTTAAATATTATGTATTTTATATTATTTTTAAATTAAAATATGATAATATATTATTAATTAAAGTAATTAATTATTTAATGAATATATTTATTTTTTATATAAAATATTAAATAACATATAAAAATATATAAAATAATAAATTACTTAAAATAATTTAAATTCTTTTTATTAAAGTAAAATTAAACGAGTTAACGATAATGTGAATGTAGACTTTTATTTCACTATTTTCAAGAAAATGAAATAACTTATTAAAAATCCTTTAATTAAAGATGCCCTTATCTTATCCCGATCGTAAGACTCTTCCAACATCGATCATTAATTTATTAAAATTTGTGAGAAAAGTTTGGAAAATATTTCGTGTAAACCTTGATTAAAAGTTAAAATAAATGTATTATTGCTCCCGAACGCTGATGGGTTGGGCCAAGTCAATGTATGGACCATAAAACTAACAGATATATTGGCCCACGCCGAGAAGCTATGAAGTTCATCAGCATGTGCCACCTGTTCAGTGGACTGACCACCATTTTGCACGCATTGGGTAAACACAGTCGCATGCACAGCAAAAGTTACGCCCCTCACAGTAGTCATCGATACATGGGTCCACATGTTTTAAACACACTGCTTTTTATTTTAGTAGAAAAACAATATACTTATTCTAATTATACAATGTTAAAATCGAAGACCAAATAATATATGGTATGGAACAAACTTTTTAGAATTTTACAATACTTGATTTTACTCATCAATTGCACATTGCAAGTTAGTTTACTATGTGAAAAGAACAGTATACTGCAAAAGGCATTGTCCTTTCTAAAGAGCAGAATTAGCTAGAGGCAATGTATTTGAAACCTGTTCGAACAAGAAATTAAGCAGGTGTTAAATTGAAGGTTAAGTGTTTGATGTAGGAGCCAAAAATGATAAAGGGCCTCACGCATAAGAACACCCTACGCTGCATACTGAAGAGTTCAATTGATGGAGGTGGCATATATTAACATAGTGAGTATGGGGTCCATGTCAGAATAAAAAAGGTCCAGTTTTCACACAGTCAACGTGAAACACCCCACTCCATTTTACAAGCCAACTACTCTATTTATCCACGACATGCACCTTGCTAGATGCACAAAAATCACACTTACACACATACACACACAAACTAAGCCACCATGAACAACCTCGCACTTACATCCATTCTCACCGTCATTTCTGCACTACTCTTCTTAGCCACTCATTTGACTCACACCCCAACAAGAACCACACAAAAACACCTCCATTACCAAAAACACATACAAGTAGCCCAATCCACGTGCCAAGGAACACTCTACCCCAACCTATGTGTCTCAACCCTTGCCACATTCCCAGATCTCACCTCAAAATCTGTCCCACAAGTGATTTCTTCGGTGGTCAACCATACCATGTACGAGGTCAAATCATCGTCCTACAACTGCAGCGGCCTCAAAAAGAAGCTCAGAAATCTCAACCCACTCGATCGGAGAGCCCTAGACGACTGTCTCAAACTGTTCGAAGACACCAACGTGGAGCTCAAAACCACCATCAACGATCTCTCCAAGACCACCATCGGGTCCAAGCGCCACCATGACTTGCAGACTCTGCTCAGCGGAGCAATGACCAACTTGTACACGTGCCTCGACGGCTTTGCGTACAGCAAAGGGCGCGTGAGAGACAGAATCGAGAAGAAGCTGCTTGAGATATCACATCACATGAGCAACTCCTTGGCCATGCTGAAGAAAGTTCCTCGAGTGAAGACAACAACATCGAAATCTGAGGTGTTCCCCGAATATGGAAAGATGAAAAACGGTTTCCCCTCCTGGGTGTCGCCCAAAGACCGAAAGCTTCTCCAAGCGTCTGTGAATGAAACCAAGTTCGATCTCGTCGTTGCCAAAGATGGCACTGGCAATTTCACCACTATAGGGGAAGCTCTCACTGTGGCTCCCAACTCCAGCACTACCAGGCACGTGACAATTTTATTTAATTTCTTTTACGTGAAAATAAGAAAATAACTAATAACAATAATAAATTGTTCTTATCATGAATTATAAGATTAAAACATATAAATTATGAGATTTTCCAAAATTTAGTGTATAATTTTGCAAGTAATAATGTGACTTCAAATGTTGACATTTATGTTATATGACAATTAGATTCATTATGTTTATTCTCATATAACAATGAACACAATATAGTTGTTAATTAGTTGTGTTGTAAAAATTGTGATGCAGGTTTGTGATACACATAAAGGCGGGGGCATATTTCGAGAACGTTGAAGTGATCAGGAAGCAGACGAATCTGATGTTTGTTGGAGACGGCATTGGGAAGACAGTAGTGAAAGCCAGTAGGAACGTTGTGGACGGGTGGACAACTTTTCAATCAGCTACTGTTGGTATGTCTTCTTAATTAGTAACTTACTTCTGCTTAATTGGTTTGATATTCCACCCTTAATTTGAAAAGAAAAATTAGGGGAGGCTATAATCTCTGTGATCATAAGTGAGATTCAATCGTAGCTTTGTCACGCATTAAAGTATGGTAAATGGTACTGTGTGTTGTGGCCGGTGTGGCTGCTATGCCAAAGACAGAAAAAGTCATTAGAAAATGTTAGAACAAGACAAACAAAATGGCAACTTGATGATGAACCCACATGTTGGTTTAAAAATTAATGATTAATTAAGTTTGGTAGGTGAATTTGTGGTTAAAATACATAATGTTGGAAAATAATTTTAAATGGTTTGCACGGACAACGACTAGTTGGGTTTGTCAAGGCACCGTGATGCGGTTGTGCAAGCATTGAATTGAAAAATAGAGTTGCAGTGTAGAGGAAGGAAGCAGAGGTTGATGCATTTTCTGATGGACTCTGATGTCCTTAAAATTCAGATATCACAGACTAGTGTCGGTTATTTAACAAATGTGGTAATTAATATTACGACAGATTGTGATGTAGATTCATGTCATGGCCACTACCAAAATGTTGTTTTGTTGTTGTTGTTATTGTAGAGTATTATAATGCTACCCCTTATGTACTGTGTGACAGTACAGCACAACTTGGTTTTGAATGTTTGAACTAGAATCAGGGGAATTTGAAAAGATAGAATCTTGGAAGAATCGGCTTCCCGTGATTAAACATGACACTGAAGAATGATAGGTGATGGGTCCATGTGTATATATGTATTATATGGAAAACTAATTTTGTAGTTTTGCAGCCCCTTTCAACCCTTTCCATTGAAAATTTCAAAGGAAAGGGCAAAAAAAATAAAAAATAAAAAAAAATAAAATAAAGATATATATATATATATATATATATATATATATATATATAGTTACTTTTCCTGTTATCCTGTTTTAATTTAATGATAAAAAAAAATTATTCTATAGATGAAATTTTGTTAAATTTATTTTTATATAAAAGATAATATGGTAGGCCTCGATAAAAACATAATATCCTAATTATTATATTAATGTATTGCATTACACAGGATATGTTTGTCTTGTTCCCCTTCCAGTCAGGAGTGACATACTCTTAAGATTCTGAGCGCGGGTCAAGCCAATCGATTTGTGTATTTATACTGCCTTTCTTTGATTCAATTATGAGCATATGATAATGCAAATTCCTTATTGTCACTTTTATGATTAATTAACTAATTTCTAATGACAAAATTATTTATTTATTTTCAGGGAATTGTTCTAATTTTATTTTTTCATGACTCGAATTTGAGATATCTATTTTAAAATTGTATGGACATACTGTTATCGGATAATTAATGTCAGAGTGATGGATACAATGCTAGCTAGCTACTCTCTAAAATGCTTATGTTTTCTGTATATCATCATTTTCCGTCAATTAATCCTCTTAAGCGACAGTTTTTTTTATTATTTTTAAAGATATTTTTCAGTTTTTTATTAGTTTTCAAATTATAACTCTTTTATATAAAAATAAAACTAAAAATACATGCAGGCAGGAGTATGTTTGGGCTTAGCATCTCATTACTTGAACTCATATTTTCACTAGAGTTACCGACACTCTTGGATCAAAGTATAGGGTCCACATGTCTCTCCACGCCCAACTAAAGGGAATTCTAGTATTCTGGATCACCATAATACTCATCACGACCCAACTACTTTTCACTGCCATTAGATCGACTTTTCATTGTTATTTCTTCTATGCTTTGCCTTTTGCTTTTCTCTTTTGCTTTTAACAAATGAAAATGCTTTAATTTTTCCTTTGGAGAACATGGAAAGTGAATTGTATGCTCTTTAATATTCATGTGAAAAATTGCGTGTAGAATAAAGCTAAGAGACTTTTAGTTCTCTTTTTCTTTTCAATGATCCTTCTTTTTTCCGTCAGTTTGGGTCTCTGCCACAAGAGTTTGCTGGCTCTTTATTGTTCAATTATGAATGATGATCAAGAATCTAATCCTAACCCCCTTTGACACTTATGCTATTTTTGCAGCTGTTGTGGGAGAAGGATTCATAGCAAAGGGAATAACTTTTGAAAACTCAGCAGGGCCAGACAAACACCAAGCTGTGGCCCTGAGAAGTGGTGCTGACTTCTCAGCTTTTTTCCAATGCAGTTTTGTTGGCTACCAAGACACTCTTTACGTGCATTCCCTACGCCAATTCTATCGTGAATGTGACATTTATGGCACTGTAGACTTCATTTTTGGCAATGCAGCTGTGGTGTTCCAAAACTGTAACTTATACGCACGCAAGCCAAACGATAATCAAAAGAACTTGTTCACTGCGCAAGGCAGAGAGGACCCTAACCAAAACACTGGCATATCCATCTTGAACTGCAAGATTGCAGCTGCTGCAGATTTAATCCCTGTCAAATCCTCCTTCAAGAACTACCTAGGTCGTCCTTGGAAAATGTACTCAAGAACTGTTTTTCTAAAATCTTACATGGAGGATCTGATTGACCCAGCAGGGTGGCTGGAATGGAATGGCACATTTGCATTGGACACACTGTATTATGGAGAGTACATGAATAGGGGTCCAGGTTCAAACACAAGTGGCAGAGTTACATGGGCAGGTTACAGGGTCATTAATAGCTCCACTGAGGCAAGCCAATTCACTGTTGGTCAATTTATTCAAGGCAATGAATGGTTGAACACCACTGGCATTCCATTTTTCTCTAGTTTGAGTTGAGATAAGTTGAAGGTTGTTAACTGTATTGAGAAATGGCTCTCCTTCTTTCATTTCCTCTGTCTTAAAATAGGTAAAGCATTGCTCTTAGTTTTCAGCATAACGGAACCTAGGAAACCTAGGATCACGTGAATTATATAAGATTATTCCCGTCATGTACTAAATTTCTGTTTCAGAAAACTGTATTCTTGAAATGCACTCGGAAATAAGTCTACCTTTGGATTTAAATATATTCAAAATGAGTGGATTTCGAGAAAAAGAGAGATAAAAGTGAGTTAATTAGATTAAGTAAAAGTGGATTAGAAATAAAAAAAAAAAGTGAAAAGTTTGTAAAAGTGTATATAAATGATTGGTTTGATAGATTAAAAAATGTTTTAATTCATTTTAAGATTATAATTTTATCATTATTTATAATAAAATAAAATAAAATGTAATTAGTATAAATTATGTTACAATGAAACGTGAATTATTATTTAAAATGAAAAAATTTAAATATATGAAATTATCTTAAAAAAATGTAATTGGTGGAAATTAATAACAAATAAATTTTAGATGATTAATTTAAATAAAATAAAATTATAATTTTAATTGATAATAACAAATGAAATGTTAATGTTATTCTTTTTCTTCAACATGTGATGCATATTGTTGAACATATAAGGATATAAAACTTGAAGATTTTGATGATGATTCAAGAATAGAGGACTTAAAGACTTGAAGACTTATAATCATCTATATTTACTTGTAATAATTCTGTTTTATACTTTTGAGTCTGTAAAATTAGAGTTCGATAGCCAACACATAGTTCATCCTCTGAAAGTTCATTTTTATTAAAATCACTCTGTAATAATCGATTATCACTCAGGATAATCGATTATCATGCTTTGAAATCTGTTTTCTGAAAAACCTTGTTGGAATAATCGATTATCTGGGTTGATAATCGATTATCCCAGTTTGAAAGTTCTGGAATAATTGATTATCAAGCCAGATAATCAATTATCCTAGTCCTGTTTTACTCCTCTGCGAAAATGACTATGTAATAATCGATTATCACTTAAGATAATTGATTATCTACGTCTGTTATGAGTTTTGAATTTTAAATTTGGATCAATTTTCGAGAAATCTTTTTCCAATGCTTCAAGTTTCGAAAACCTTTATTTCTCAAACCCTATTCTCTCTACTTAAGGTTCTTTAAGACTCTTTGCAAAAGAAAAAACCTTTTTCATACAAAAAAGTTAAGAGCTGTGATTGCTAGAGAACTTTCTATATGGAAGAAAAATGGGTTTTTGAAAACCTAGTGTGGGCTAGAAGCGATAAAAATCACTGAGTGGGTTTCTTGGTGGATTGTGTGTTGTGCCGTCTCTAGGAAAAGCTGTTGTTCATCCTTTGTGGATTCAAATGAGGTGCTCATCTCTTGTGTAATTCAAGAGAGGCGTTTTCTAATCTTTATCTTTGTATTTATAATCTGTTTGAACTGTGATTATAGTAACAACGTTAATCCTCTTTTAGATTGATTAGCAACTAGACGTAGGGTCTTTTGATCCGAACCAGTATAAAACACTTGTGTAATCTTCTCATCCTTTCTCTATTTACATTACAAGTATTTTAATCGGTAAAATTTGAAAAAAATTTGAAAAACCCTAAGTTTTATAACTAAACCAATTCACCCCCCTCTTGGTTTTTTTGTCTTGTCTGCAATCGCAAATATTCCGTTGCGCGAAAGTTCTAACAAGTGGTATCAGAGCTTGCTTTGATAGTCATTCAAATTTTGAAAATGGCCGAACAAAATCAAACCTTTGTCGAGAGTGCTTCTATCAATAGACCCCCACTTTTTGCAGGGCAAGATTATCCTTTTTGGAAAGTAAGAATGCAAATATTTTTGGAGTCTGTTGATAGAGGTGTATGGGATGCCATTGTAAATGGTCCTTTTATTCCCAAAGTTATTGTAAATGATGTAGAATAACAAAAGTCATTCTCTAGATGGACGACTGAAGAAAATAGGAAAGCCCAATATGATGTTAGGGCTAGGAATATAATTTTGTCTACTTTAACCCTTGATGAGTTTTGCATCATTTCTGTTTGCAAGAGTGCTCAAGAGATGTGGAAAATTCTAAGAGTAACTCATGAAGGAACCGATGATGTAAAAAGAGCACGAAAAAATTCTTTGATACAAGAATATGAAATGTTCAGAATGCAAATGGGAGAATCAATTTTTGACGTCCAAAAGCGTTTCACATATATTGTGAACCATCTCACAAGGCTTGGTAAGACTTTTGACACTGATGAATTAAATGTGAAAATTCTTAAATCTTTGGACATGAAATGACAACCAAAGGTGACTGCCATTATGGAGTCATAAAATCTTGCCACTATGACTATGGTAGCTCTCTTTGGAAAGTTGAGAGAGCATGAACTAAACTTGGAAGGTTAAACGATGAAGAAGGCCAACATCAAAAGAGAAACCTAGCTTTCAAAATTGAAGTTTCTAAAATCAAGAAAAAGAAGGAAGAAGAAAGTTTCGATAGTGAAGATGATGAAAACTTGAGCCTCATGATAAAAAAATTTACAAAGTTCATGAAAGCTAAAGGAAAGCAACCTTTCAAAGGTAAGAGAAAGGTAAAAGAAAGTTCTTCTTTAAGTTTTAAATGTTATGGTTGTGGTGAAACATGACATGTGAAATCCGATTGTCCAAATAAGAAAAGTGATGTGAAAGTGATGAAGATCTTATTGAATTACTTTGGCAAAGATCTTGTTGATTTGATGAAGTAAAAAATGAAGTCAAAGCTACTTTGTGGCAGTCAAAGGTCACTTAGATAAAAGGGTAGTAGGATTAGTGAGTCTGCATCTATGCTTAGGTATAATCATTTTTATCTCTCTGCTGCATGAGGTTTCTTCATTTAAAAGATTTTGCAAATGTCTCTAAAAAAATGTTTAAACGGTTAAAAACAAAGTATTTTGATAAATGGTTTTTTAATTAGCTATTTTAACTAATAGCGTATAAGCTTTATCAACTAAAATGTTCTTAACACTTTTGTAACAGGTTTTTAACTAATATGTTTTCAAAATAATCGATTGTTTTCATTAAAGGAAGTTTTAAAAACCTTACGTCAGGTATTTTAACCGATATAGTTTCGAAAAAATCGATTAAAATCACTTAAAATGTTCAGTGAAGTGTTCTGGAAGTATTTTAATCGATATAAATTTGAAATAATCGATTAAAACCACTTGGATTATTTTTTAATCAATGAAATCCAGAATATGATCGATCAGAATAATTTTAATCGATTAAACTGCGATTTAATCGATTAAAACAACTTAAGAGAATTTCTACTAAGCGTTTTAATCGATTAAAACAGATTGTTATCAGTTAAAATCACTTAGAAAAGTTTATAAGAATGTTTTGCAGTATTTTAATCGATTGAAAGACGAAACAATCGATTAAAACAGTTTGGAAGATTTTTTACAAAGAGTTTTAATTGATATAAACGGTGTCGTATCAGTTAAAACACATATGGAAAATAATCAAGAACATTTGAACAGATTAAAAGAAGTTTTAACAGATTAAAACAAGACTTTTAACATATTAAAAGATTATTTTAACAGATTAAATAAACCAGCAGTTTTAAAAATCTTCTATATAAACAGAGTTGCTTGAACTTTTTAAAATACATCTTTTAGCAATCAATCAAGCAATCATAAGTGCTACTTTCAAGAGAGAATCGCGCTAGTTTTTGTGAAGTTCATTAAAGTTCTTTCTTGAGGCAAAATTGCATTCTTTTGGAGAAGAAACACATACTGCAGAACTGCATAAATTTGGTTTGAGCGTTCTAAGTTTCTTCTATTTGTTTCTTTACTTTCTTTACTGTATTTTGGGTGCTTGGAATTGTGGGCACTGGTTTCTGTAGTTGGAATTTGGATGCAGGGTTGGTTAATAACTGGAATTTGGTTCTTGGTGAAGGTTTAGGTGCAGGAACTGGAATTGTGGTTCTTGTGGTAGATTGAGTGTGAGATTAAAGTTGTAATCTGTAAAACGTTCAATCTAGTGGAACCCAACTGGAATTTGGCTGGAAACTGGACGTAGCCACGGGATTGGGTGAACCGAGTATAAATCTCGGTTGTATCTTTCTAAACCTTTCTCTTTTATTTACATCACTTGCTTTTATTTTGATTGCTTGCTGTGTGTAATTCAAGAAGCTGGTCGAGAAATCTTAATCTTTGAAATAGATAATCAGTAAATTGCGAAAATCTTTCAAAGATCAATTCACCCCCTCTTGATCTCGAGCCTACATTTCTAACAATTGGTATCAAGAGCAAGGTTCTTGAGAATTATTCAAGTCTTTCGATCCAAATGGTCGGAAATAGTTTTTCCGAGGGTGCTTGTATTGATAGACCTCCACTGTTTTGTTGTACAGATTACTTATTTTGGAAGATAAGAATGAAGATCTTTATTGAATCTGTTGGTATAAATGTTTGGAATATTATTGAAGCGGGGAACTTATGTTTTTAACAAAGAATGGTCTAGTTTAAATGATTCGAAAAGAAACTAATCCAAGATGATTGTATTGCTAAAAATATCATCATATCTGCACTTAACGAGATGATTTTTTCAGGATTGCACATTGTCAAACTGCTGCACAAATGTGGAAAACCCTTGAAATGGCCTATGAAGAAACAACGAGAGATATGCTTAATGGTCAATTCAGATTCTCTAATAACCGAGTGTAAGTTTTGACTCAACAACTACTATGAATTATAGTTCATTACAAGATGTTTTTTTATGAAATGCATGCAGTAGCTAAGAGATTAGAAATTGAAAACAAAAGATTAAAAAGCATGAATAGTTTATTAGAAAACAAGATCACTCTTCTTGAAAAGAAAATAGTTGATGAAGAAACCAAGAATGAAAATTTGGAAATAGGTAATAACTCTGATTGCATGTGTAATATTAAAGATTGTAAAAACTGTCCTGAGTTACAAGAGAAATTAACATATTTAATAAAAAC